AAAGAAAAGAAAAAAACATGGGTGTGTTAAACCCAGTATGTTGATAAGAAAAAAGCAGAAAATTGTGGTTCAAAAGCAGTTGCTTAGAAATTGTTATTATTCATTACTAATACACTATATTAATATAAACTTAAAACAATTTATGCTTGACTATATTGAGTATTTTGTTATATATCGAATGAGTATTATATATTGAATGATACACAAAAGATACTAATTTAATTTCAAGAAATTGATATTTATCGAATTTTTACATTGCTTGGGATGCTCTCCTTTGCCAGAGCCGAGGACTCTTAGTTGTCAAATTAAAAGTAACAAATCCACAGTAGCTACGGAACTTAAGGCACCGATGTTAGACTTCTTTTATGAGCATTCAGAGAGGATTTGGAGAATGGAAAATATTACCAGATTGTTAAAGTCATACTGTCATGAAATCTTCTGCATTATCAGGTCTCTTTGCTGACCCAGAAGTTGAAAAAACACTGCAAAGTGGAATATCAAATTAAAACATTTTCTGGGCAAACCCATGGCTTCGTGCATCGAAAAAGAGAAGATTGTTCAGCCGAGGACAAGCCCTATGTTGACGAGGCAAGAAGGAATTTAATTGAGTGGCTGCACAAGTATGTTTAGCAGGGGCCAAGGGTGCACTTTCTCAGAATAGCTCGCATCCAGAAAATTGCTTTGGGATACTTGGGTCGTTTAATTTTTACTATCTTGATGTAAAATAAATCCAGGAATCCTGAAATTCATTATTCCATCTCAAACATAAATGCAGTAGGAAATGTTAATGCATGATACAATTTAATTTTGAACACATACACTAAGGGAAAAACAGGTCAGTACCTGAAGAATTCGAATGGTAGAGTTAATATCCTGTTAGCAAAAACCTAGGGCTGTTTATGGACCAGCTGACAGCTCAGCCATGGACTTCGTGGTTCTTCATTAAGTACATTCTTTAAAACGATGGGTGTGGCAGAGCCATGAAGAGCATGAATTGTAAACTCAGATTCAAAGCCCAGCTTCCTTGGGCATTTGTCTGTCTTAATACGGATGAGTCGGTCATGTTCATGGATTGCACTGTGAGAAATACTGAAGCTAAAATAGGGTTTCGTTGACCTAATTATATTGAGCCAATAAACTTACTTTCTGAATGTGTGGCTTTTTCTAAAAGCTAATAAAGAACAATGGATTAGAGTGACTATCTGGCTGTCTCCCAAGGAAGTGATTTTCCAGAACGTGGGCATCTTCGGGGCCCAGGGCCTGGGATTGCATCAGGAATCACTCGTGCATTCAGTTGAAGGGTGGTGGCATACAGGGTCACGCTTCGGTTTTTATATATTTTCATTGACTTATATTAAATCGCATGAACAGCTCAGCTCCTCGGCATTAGCGTGGCGGTAGGAACTACATGGGGCAGAGCCAGTCGGCACCAGTAAAGGCCCTGCCTTCTTCTAGCCACACCGTTGACTTTCCTTTAACCCGGTTACCCTCCCCCCACCCACCCCGTGACAGTCCCGCACTTGGTGTTCTTCTGTGCCAGCTGAGAGTTTTACTTTGCAAACTAAGCAAGCCTCGGCTAGACGGCTGTGCACTCCCACTGGCTCCTGTGAGTCTGCAGATGCAGAAGGGTCACCTCGTGTCCCCTCACACCCCGGCCCCGGCCCTGCCACAGGTGCCCTCCGTCCGGTGGGACCAGGGGGAGGGCATTTTGCTTGGGTCCTGGGTTGAGGGTGGGGCTCTGGGTGGAGAGGGGAACTCATGGCACTTCCACTCTGGGAGCCAGGGACGAGAAGGGTGTCTGCGGCTTCCAGAATCCACACGCACCCCTTCCTTTCTTCCATCGCTGGGCTTTTGGAGTCCCATGTGACTGATGGCTTTACTTTTTTCTGTGACAGCAGAGGGGTGACGAGAAAAAGGGAGGAGTGATGTGGACCTCACCCCTGCAGGAAAATGGAGAGGAGGGGAGGGATTCCAGGGCACTTAGAAGAGAACTGGGAGGGCAGACACAGCGACCCGTCCGAGGTCTGTGTAGAGATTATGCTGGACAGGGAATCCGGGAAGAGAAGCAGGGCCGTCTGGAACATCAGGTTCCTCGGGCTGCGAACAACAGAGAGCCTAACACTGGCTCAGAGAAGAACACTCCTAACGGGGTCCGAGAGTGGTTCAGGGCCCTGCTGACCTCAGGACATGGGGCAGGTGCCTGCCCGTCCGGGCCCTCTCCTCACGGGCGCACTCTAGGCCTCTGCCTCACAGAACACCTGCCAGAGCAGGGAGGGGGGGCAGGGACTGTCTGTACCTATTCTTATGAGGGAGAGAACTCCTTCCCAAGAACCCCCTCTTAGTCTTGGGCTCCCAGCCTCCAGAACAGTGAGAAAGAAACACTGAAGCCACCGTTTATGGGATTTTTGCTCTAGCCGGGACAGGACTGTTATCTATGGAAGTTTCGGGCTTACTCTATCATTTTTGAGAGGTCTGTCATATATCCAATTCCACACAGTTCAAAGGTCATTCCTTCAATGGTGTTCCAGGATAAGGGGGCTAGTGCAGCGGACAGAACGCTTGTTACACGGACATGCTTTACACACTTACTGTCGCAGAACGTTAGCCGTGAGCTCAAGGCTGAGAGCTGGTGCTTCATCAAGGCCCTCCCTCAGGGAGAGCGGCTTGCTTCTGCTGTGATGGCAAATGACTCCCGTCAGCAGTGGGAAAAGCAAGTAAGCTTAGTATAAAAATACCGTTGACCTCTTGGCCCCTTGAGACGGTCCAGGACCCCGTCTGGGACCACACATTACAACACCGCCAGTGTCTGTGTTAAACATTTACAACAGCACTTGGGACACCACAAATACCTCACACACACCTTCCCTACTGCCTCCCTGCTTTTGCCGACCTTGAACACATTTTCTAAGTAGCCGTCTCGCCTCTGGTGCTTTAGGTGGGGCCTCTATTGTGCAGGTTGCCTCCAAGAAGCACCTCAAATGCCTGCAGTTCCCTGTCCTCCCTTTAGTACCACACTTCGCTCGCCCCTGGCCCCAAACTCCTGACCCTTTAGTGGAGCTGCTTCGCCAAGAACAGAAAAGAAAGGAAAAGGGATAACGAAATCCTCACATGTGACACACCAGCCTCTCGGCCCTTCCAGAAGCATCCGTACTTGAGTGGTTGGTATTATAATCGAAAGCCAGACCATTTAACGAACACCGAGTAAGTCCAGCAAGTGTGGGAGTTGGGAACCAACAAGAGTGCTGTCCTGCGTGGGAATCTGGCCTTGGGGTCATGGTCAGCGGAAGCACAAGGGACTGGTCTTGCACTTCACGAGACAGCTCTCTGGGGTCCCCATTCGGCTGTCAGATTAGGAAGGTGGGCCCGGAGGGAAGGCTCGTTTGAAAAGCCCACCGAAGCGTCAGGTGGAGACTTCACGACCTCAGCTACCGAAGACTCTGGATCCTAGTTGACAGACTGTCTTTTACCCAGTGTCCTAATCCTCTTCCAGCGCAGAGATAAGTATTTTGCGTTATAAAAAAAAGTCGGGGGGAGAACACACATAGCTTGATGAGGGATCTGCAACTAGAATGTAAAGGTCACGGGTCACCTCGGAGAGGCCCTCTAATGAAGCAAAACCACCCCTCCAGGCTTTCCTGTTCGCAGGCCGCGTGGTTTCTCTGCCCCAGACCCACTGGGAACGTGCGAGGCCCACTTTGGAGCCGAGGGGTGGTCTGGCAGCTCCTCACGCAACCACGGACCCCTTCAGGCAAGCCTGTGTTGTCTGGAGTCCGGAATCAGTCCTCACGAAGCGTGTCAGAGTCTAGACTATGGATGCACGTGGACGCTGCACCCACAAGCACATGACAGATCACAGTGGTGCCGATGCATAGCACACGTTAGAGGGACGTCCACGCTAGCTTGGGTGGAGTAGTTTTTCAACTTTCAAAACTCGATGGTCTATTCCAGAACTTCCTGAGACGGGTGCGAGCTTAGCCAAATCACCAGTGCAGCCAGAGAAAAGACGACCAGCACGTTAGGGCTCACGAGCACCCAGGTGCACAGAAGGCAAGTGAAAGGTCACCAGTCAGAACGGTTCAGATTCCGGTTCTGACCAGTTGTGGGAGGCTCCCCCTGGTGGCACACAAGTGAACTCGATCCCAAGACTGGCCAGAAAAATGGAACCCAGAGAACCACGCACACAAGTAAATGATGCACAAGGCACAGAGGCTGCGGGGACCCGGGAGCCCGACGGCTGGGCGTCTGACCTGCTCTACCGCTCGCCGGCCATGAGGTGCCGGCAGAGGATCGGGCCTCGCCTGGAAGCTGTGGGAAAAGAAAGGTCTCCGTCCAGGGTGGTGGGAGAAGCGGGACGGTTGACGTCTTGGAACGAGGCCCGGTCACGTCCGTCATGGTTACTTTAGGAAGGGGAATGAAGTGACAGCAGCCCACCCACATATGGTAACCTGGGGACCCTTCCTCGCACCCGGCCCACTGCTCGTGTTCCACGCCCCGCTCTGAACCTTCGCTGCTTTTGTCCCGCTGGGGAAGCCCCAGCTGTGCTCTAACGGCCCCTCCAGGTTTCTGCAGGGGGAGCAGGTGTCCGGCCGTTTGGGGAGGGTCAGGACAGGGGCAACCAAACACCCAGGGGACATGAGGCTGGAACCCACGCTCGCTACGTGGCTGGCAGCTCAAAGCACTTAGGACACCCCCCCCCCCCCCCCCGCCCCGATCTCACGCTTTCCCACACTCCTCAGGATGGGTCTCCACGATCAAAGGACCCGTCTACTTAGAGACACGCGGCATTTAAATACGTTTCATAGGACGAAGCCCGGTCTTCTTTCAAAGCTTGAGACCAAACTCCATGTTTAAGCTGTTACAAGTATCTACAAATTAAAAAAAAAAAAGATCTACTCAACCAAACCCCTTCATTAGGGCAGCATTGGGTTGGTACAGCCAGTTTCTTAACTTGAAGAGAAGACAGCCGTTGTTTAAAGAGACCGCTTTAATAGAACAGATACAAAAGCCTGTGAGACCGCATTCCCATAACTGAACTTCTTTCAACAGGAGAACCATGGTAACTAAACATCTGTTTCTATTATAGCATCTACAGTGTCTGAAAAAAGACACAGTAATAAATAACTGTAGATGCATCACAAGACATCCGTTTATTTAATCACAATAGTGAACCTTACTACTACATTTACTCTCGTTTTTTTCTTTATTCTTCGGATTCCCCAGGCTTACGGATGTCATCGATCTTCAAAATCATTCTAACCATTTGTGTGGCAAGAGAGATCTGTTGCTTTTTGCCAATCAGAGTTTCTATGACATGCTGTTGCTTCATATCTGGAAAACACAAATAAATGAATTATCCTAAAACATATGTATTTGATATTAGTAACTTGCTCTCATTTGTACAAAGACACTGAAACTTAAAAAAATATAAATCTGGGGACGACTGGGTGAGTCAGTTAAGTGTCTCCTGATTTCCACACAGGTCCCGATCTCGAGGTTTGTGAATTCGAGCCTCGTGTCAGGGTCTGCACTGACAGCGTGGAGCCTGCTTGGGATTCTGTCTCTGCCCCTCCCCTGCTTGCGTGTATGCTCCCTCTAAAAAAAAAAAGAATTAAAAAAAAATTTCTAAAACAAAACCCAAATCCAGAAGAAACCACTCATCCAGCTACATTTTCAGAGGGGTAGTAAGATTCCATTATTCCAGAGGACAGTCTGGAATTTGAACCTGGGTCCCAGAAAGCTGGGGGTGAAGGGGACCTCTCTTCAATGACAAGCCAAAGT